GCCGAGTCAACGGGGGGAGCCAGATCCACTTAACAACCGGGTTACTCACTTATCAACTGCAGTGATTCACATAACAACTGCAGCAAGATAAGATAAGACAACCTTTATTGTCATTTTTTTTAACTGTGGGCGCAACGGCACACATCAAAAATGAAATTTAGTTGCCTGCTCTCAAAGTGAAACACATACATGACACACACCTAAAACATACCATGTAGACAGATCGTAAAGCGGGGCAAAACCCGCTTAGCCAGCCCCGCTCAGCAACGGGAAGCTTGGGCTCAACGGTGGTCGTAAAGTCGAGGACTGCCTGCGTCCAGTAAACGAATCATGTCGTCCTTTGGTTTTTTGCAACGGTTTGGGAATTCTAGCGCAGCTGCCGGAAGCCCAATCTGGCCCGACATATATTGACTTACATCTTCTACGCTGGGAATGACCTGGTCACACGGAAGCCTTCTTCCGAGGGGATTCCTTCCCCGATTTCCCAGCGGCCCCTCTCCGGTTGGCGCTCCCTAATGAAGCCGCCATTGTCACTCCGTCGCCGAGCCAGACCCGGCGCCCTGCGGAGGTTGCCCTGAGGCCAAACATCCCTGAAATACGATGCCCGCTCATCATAGTTGGCAGCCCCGCTTGTTGAGCCGAGCCGGGAGAGAGGAACACCAATGACGCAGTTATTATTTCCATATTTTTTTAAAAAAATTTATTTAAGGCCGGCGTGTTGACAGCAACGCGATCCCCGTCGAGGGGGCCAAGAAGGGATCTCATTCCGGCCGGGCTATCAACCTCAATTCCTCTCCTTGGGGCTCTGCTGGGTTCACTTCCTTCGGGGCGCCCGGACGGGCACAAATCTTGGGGTGAAAGTTGGTGTCTTGGGGGGCTTAAGGCCTTTTTTTTTTTTTTTCAGTCAAGCGACGCTCGGATTTTTCCTTCCTCCCCCCTGAGGTTGGCAGTGGGCCATGTTGTTGCGAGGGGAGGCCAAGGTTTACGGGTGTGAGTGGCACTTTCTAATGGCCCTGGGCAATGTGCCCACCTGTCAAAAGGTGCTGGTGGAGTAAAAGCATCTAAATCCAGGGTAATGCCACCCTGGGCCCAGCTGTCTGCACTCAAAAAGCCATGTCTGCACTCAGACATGGGCATGCTTGGGCCTTGGCGACATGGGGAAGCTCCTGCTGCCACCATCTCCGATGCATCTCCAGCTTCTGGTTCAGAAGTGCAATATGCAGGTGGTCCTCAACCTACGACCGTTCATTTAGGGACTGTTTGAAGCTACAACAGCGCTGGGTTAGGGTTAGGGGTTAGGGTTAGGGTTAGGGTTACACTTCCCAGGCCCCAAATTTCCATTATGATGGTGGTGGTGGTGGTGGTGGTGGTGGTGGTGGTGGTGGTGGTGGTGGTGATGATGATGATGATGATGATGATGATAGAAGGGACCTTGGAGGTCATCTAGTCCAACCCCTGCTCAGGCAGGAAACCCTATACCAAGATGCTGAGACTCTAGAAAGAGAGCAGAGAAGAGCAACAAAGATGATCAGGGGACTGGAGGCTAAAGCATATAAGGAACGGCTGCTGGAATTGGGTATGTCTGGTTTAATGAAGAGAAGGACGAGGGGGGACATGATAGCAGTCTCACAATATTTGGGGGGCTGCCCCAAAGAAGAGGGAGTCAAGCTCTTCTCCAAAGCCCCTGAAGGCAGGACAAGAAGCAACAGATGGAAACTCATCAAGGAGAGAAGCAACCTAGAACTAAGGAGAAACTTCCTGACAGTGAGAACAATTAACCAGTGGAACTACCTGCCTCCAGAAGCGGTGAATGCTCCAACACTGGAAGTTTTTAAGAAGAGACTGGACAGCCATTTGTCTGAAATGGTATAGTTTCCTGCCTTAGCAGGTGGTTGGACTAGATGACCTCCAAGGTCCCTTCCAACTTTATTATTATTATTATTATTATTATTAATAATAATAATTTATTACTTTTCCAATTTTACATCATTATTATTATTATTATTATTATTATTATTATTATTATTATTATTATTATTATTATTTCAGACAAATGGCTTTCCAGTCTCTTCTTAAAAACATCCAGCGTTGGAGCTTTCACCGCTTCTGGAGGCAGGTGGTTCCACGGGTTAATTGCTCAACAAGACAGTGTGGCTGAGTGAGTTGGGCCTCATTTTACAACCTCGCTCGCCACGATTGTGAAGCGGGTCACTGCTAAGTTTAACTTAGTAACCCCCGTTGTTAAGTGAATCTGGCTTCCCCAGGGACTTGGCTTGTCAGAAGGTCGCCAAAGGGGACCCCGTCACTCCCAGGGACGCCGCGACCGACATAAATAGGAGTCAGTTGCCGAGCGCCTGAAGTTTGACCAAGTGACACCTGGCGATGCTGCAACGGTCATAAGGGGGGGGGGGAGAGTCATAAGTCACTTTTTTCAATGCCATTATAAGGTCGCCCTGCCAACAAAAGTGTGTATAGTCAAGGCCATGGTTTTCTCAGTTGCAATGTATGGCAGTGAAAGTTGGACCATAAGAAAGGCTGAGCGCCAAAGAATGGAGGCCTTTGAACTCTGGTGCTGGAGAAGACTCCTGCGAGTTCCCTGGACTGCAAGGCGATCCAACCGGTCAGTCCTGGAGGAGATCAACCCCGACTGCTCTTGAGAAGGCCAGATCCTGAAGTTGAAACTCAAGTCCTTTGGCCACCTAATGAGCAGGAAGGACTCCCTGGAGAAGAGCCTGATGCTGGGAAAGATGGAGGGCAAGAGAAGAAGGGGACGACAGAGAAGGAGGTGCCTGGATGGAGTCACTGAAGCAGGAGGCGTGAGCTTCAATGGACTCCAGAAGATGGTGGAGGACAGGAAGGCCTGGAGGAACGTGGTCCGTGGGGTTGCGATGGGTCGGACACAACTTCGCAGCTAACAACAACAACAAATAAGTTCGAACAGTCACTAAACGAACAGTTGTAAGTCAGTGACAGTTGTACGTCAATGACAGTTGTAAGTCAATTGCTACCTGTATTCTGAGTTATAAATTGGGAGTAGCAGCACATGGGAGGAGTGTCGAAAGCGGCCGTAATGGATCTGGCCAGGAAGGGAAGGTTCATGAAGGCAAATGGCAACACACAAGCACAAAACCCACCCACCGCAAACACACACCCATTCCGATGAGAGCTTTACGACCCCAAACGCTGCACTTACACGATTCCGGGAAGAGAGTTCTTTTTATTGTAGCGTGTAAGGTTTCACTTTGTGCGCTAAAAAGACTGCACCAAGCAAAGGGAGGGCAGAGAACTGAATGCCCATAAGGAGTATTTGGAGACCCCGATGCCCAGGGGCCTCATGTAGCCTTCCCCCCCCCGCCCCGGACAACGTCCAGCGGTGAGCCAGCTGTGTGCGGCAGCAGCCCAAAAAGCGAATGCAATCCTTGGTTGCAAAAATGGAGGCACAGAATCAAAATCACGTGAACTATTACTGGCCATTCACCTGTCTGAGATGGTATAGGTTCTCCTGCTTGAGCAGGGGGCTGGACTAGAAGACCTCCAAGGTCCCTTCCAGCTTCTATTCTATTCTATATTCTATTCTATTCCTTATTCTATTCTATTCTGTTCCTATCCCAGTGATGGCGAACCTTTTAGAGACTGAGTGCCCAAAAATTGACCCCGGCCCCGTTACACCCCCTACTCTGTCCCCCGCCCCACCTGCCCACAGGGCCACTCACCACCTCCAGGGCCCACCGCAGATCGCCCAGGCAGCCCAGCACCGCTATGGCGGCCACACCCTCTGCCCGCGCCCTGCAGCATCAATTGTGCCCGATGGGGTGTGAGGGCAGACTCTTGTCTACGCTGCCTGGCTGCCATGTCCTTGGCTGTGCTGCTCCACGTGGGCCACGTTCGGGGGCGACTCTCCTTCAGGGGGGCTGCTGGAGAGGAGGGGGTCGCGGGAGGAGGCGAGGCTGGGGCAACGGCACGTGTGCCCACAGAGAGGGCTCCGAGTGCCGCCCCTGGCACCAGTGCCATAGGTTCGCCACCACTGCCCTATCCTATTCCATTCTATTCCATTCTTCTATTCCATTCCTATTATTCTATGCTATTCTATTCTATTCTATTCTATCCCTTATTCTATTCCTATCCTATTCCATTCTTCTATTCCATTCCTATGCTATGCTATGCTATTCTATTCTATTTCCATTCTATTCCATTCTGCATTCTATTCTATTCTATTCCATTCCATTCCACATTCTATTCTATTTTCTGCCTGAGCACTGGGTTGGACTAGAAGACCTCCAGGGTCCTTCCCAACTATTCTATTCTATTCTATTCTATTCTATTCTATTCTATTCTATTCTATTCTATTCTATTATTATTTTAATCTACAATCTATTCTATTCTATTCCTTATTCTATTCCATTCCATTCTGCATTCTATTCTATTTTCTGCCTGAGCACTGGGTTGGACTAGAAGACCTCCAAGGTCCCTCCCAACTATTCCATTCCATTCCATCTCTATATTCTATATTCTATATTCTATATTCTCTTCTATTTGGATTTGACTAGTCTAGAGAAAAGAAGGACCGGGGGGCACACGATATAGCAGTCTTCCAGTATTTGCAGGGCTGCCACAAGGGAGGGGGTGTGTGGGGTGCCAACCTCTTCTCCAAAGCGCCTGAAGGCAGGACAAGACGCAACGGATGGAAGCGAACCAAGGAGAGAAGCAACCTGGAACTAAGGAGAAACTTCCTGACAGTGAGGACAATTAACCAGTGGAACAGAAGTTGCCTCCAGAAGTCCTGGGCGCTCCATCACCGGAGGTTTTTAAGAAGAGACCGGATAGCCACTTGTCCGAATTGGTATAGGTTCTCCTGCTTGAGCAGGGGGCTGGACTAGAGGACCTCCCAGGTCCCGTCCGGCTCTATTCTAAATTCTAAACGTGACCTCCATTTTCCTTTGCAGGCCTTGACCCGGGAAGAACTGGGCATAGCTGTGCCCACTGAGGAAGAGATTATTACAATGTCGGAGGACACTTATTCTTACGATGTGCCCGATATCAGCCTCAACTTCAAGGAGATGAATGACGCCCAGAAAATTGATGTTGACGCCTGGTTTGGTGAGTAGCCGGTCTACGGCCGGGAGGGGGACCTGCTGGAGGAGGGCCAAACTAACTGCTGGCTTTCCTGCTTAAGGCAGGACTAGAACTCACCGTCTCCTGGTGATTGGCCCAAAGTCATTCAGCCAATTTCCGTACTTATGGTGGGACTAGAACCCCCTAGAAACCTGAGTTTCATGCCTAAGGGGAACTAGAACTCACTGTTTCCTGGTGATTGTGAAGTTTTGTAGCTGATGTTCCTGCTTAAGGCAGGACTAGAACTCACTGTTGCCTGGTAATTGGGCCAAAGTCACCCAGCTGGTTTTCGTGCTTATGGTGGGACTAGAACTCACTGTCTCCTGGTGATTGGCCTCAAGTCCCCTAGCTGACTTTCATGCTTAAGGTATGAAACTCACCGTCTCCTGGTGATTGGCCCAAAGTCACGCAGCCAATTTCTGTACTTATGGTGGGACTAGAACCCCGTCACCCAGTGAGTGGCCAGCTGGGTTTCATGCCTAAGCAGAACTAGAACTCACTGTCTCCTGGTGATTGGCCTCAAGTCCCCTAGCTGGCTTTCCTGCTTAAGATAGGACTAGAACTCACCGTCTCCCAGTGAGTGGTCAGCTGGGTTTCATGCCTAAGGGGAACTAGAACTCACTGTCTCCTGGTGATTGGCCTAAAGTTTTGTAGCTGATATTCCTGCTTAAGGCAGGACTAGAACTCACTGTCTCCTGGTGATTGGCCTAAAGTTTTGTAGCTGATGTTCCTGCTTAAGGCAGGACTAGAACTCACCGTTGCCTGGTAATTGGGCCAAAGTCACCCAGCTGGTTTTCGTGCTTATGGTGGGACTAGAACTCACTGTCTCCTGGTGATTGGCCTCAAGTCCCCTAGCTGACGTTCCTGCTTAAGGTATAAAACTCACCATCTCCTGGTGATTGGCCCAAAGTCACGCAGCCAATTTCCATACTCCTGGTGATTGGCCTAAAGTCCCCTAGCTAATTTTCCTGCTTAAGGTAGGACTAGAACTCACCGTCTCCCAGTGAGTGGCCAGCTGGGTTTCATGCCTAGCTGATGTTCCTGCTTAAGGCAGGACTAGAACTCACCGTTGCCTGGTAATTGGGCCAAAGTCACCCAGCTGGTTTTCGTGCTTATGGTGGGACTAGAACTCACTGTCTCCTGGTGAATGGCCTCAAGTCCCCTAGCTGATGTTCCTGCTTAAGGCAGGACTTGAACTCACCTTCTCCCAGTGAGTGGTCAGCTGGGTTTCATGCCTAAGGGGAACTAGAACTCACTGTCTCCTGGTGATTGGCCTAAAGTCCCCTAGCCGACTTTCCTGCTTAAGGGAGGACTAGAACTCACTGTCTCCCAGTGAGTGGCCAGCTGGGTTTCATGCCTAAGCAGAACTAGAACTCACTGTCTCCTGGTGATTGGCCAACTGGGTTTCATGCCTAAGGGGAACTAGAACTCACTGTCTCCTGGTGATTGGCCAACTGGGTTTCATGCCTAAGGGGAACTAGAACTCACTGTCTCCCAGTGAGTGGCCAGCTGGGTTTCATGCCTAAGCAGAACTAGAACTCACTGTCTCCTGGTGATTGGCCAACTGGGTTTCATGCCTAAGGGGAACTAGAACTCACTGTCTCCTGGTGATTGGCCAACTGGGTTTCATGCCTAAGGGGAACTAGAACTCACTGTCTCCTGGTGATTGGCCATCTGGGTTTCATGTCTAAGCGGAACTAGAACTCACTGTCTCCTGGTGATTTTGCCTAAAATCCCCTAGCTGGATTTCCTGCTTAAGGCAGGACTAGAACTCACCGTTGCCTGGTAATTGTCCCAAAGTCACCCAGCTGGTTTTCGTGCTTATGGTGGGACTAGAGCTCACTGTCTCCTGGTGATTGGCCTAAAGTCCCCTAGCTGACTTTCCTGCTTAAGGCAGGGCTAGAACTCACTGTCTCCCAGTGAGTGGCCAGCTGGGTTTCATGCCTAAGGGGGGAACTAGAGCTCACTGCTTAAGGCAGGACCTAGATCTCCCCCACGCCGCCTGGTGATTGGCCCAGAGCTACCCCGCCGGCTTTTGTGCTTACGGTGGGACTGGAACTCCCCGTCTCCCAGTTTGTGGGTTCGATGCTCTCTTCGCTCGACCCAACCGGCTCTTTCGGAAGGGCACGGGAGGCGCGTGAGGGTTGCTAGGATGTGGCCTGCTTGCTGCTCCCAGCATGGAGGACCCTGCTAGGCTGATCACTATTTTTGCAGTTGTCCGATCGGCCGCCCTGATGACCCCCTGCACAGAGACGGGTCCGCCGGGCGTCCTGCCCAAAGCCTTGTCATTCAAGTCTAACCTTCCCTGGGCGGCGGTCTCCCCAATGGTGAAAACAGGTGAGCTGCTTCCTTTGAGACCCAAATGGCGTTCGATCAAGTTCCAGGACTGACAGAGGTCCACGGGCCGGTCCCATCTAATCTTGGGTCCTTGTTCTTAATCCCACCGACCTCCTGATGGACCCTCGAGACATTCCTGGGGAGCTGAGACACCACCACCCCCTCCTCCGGGCCACCTCCGTTTTAACTTGGGCGTGGCAAAATGTGGGGGAGCCAGCCTCTGGGGGTGTCTCTCTCTCTCGGACCTCAAAATGCAGGGTCCCTCGCGTGGAGAGTTCGGACTAGCTTCTCTCTCGTCCTCTCTGGAGACCACGAGGAGGACGTCTGAAGGCCGTTATCCCCCGTTCAGCGTTGAGCAGAGGAGACCCCGGAAGGGCTACGGCCCTCTCCAGGTCTTCACGCCGGTCTAATTCCATTCTTCTCCAGGAGGGTTACAGTCCTGGTGAGGACCTTGCTTGGCTCCATAGCTTGGCTGGATCCCTTGCCTGAGAAATATCCTCCATGTCTCCTCACCTTTAGATGAGAAGGAGAGTAATAACGAAGATGAAACGGAGCCGTCAAACGAGGTGCCCGCCAATGTGGTTCGCTCGATGGCGGAATGGCCGCAAGCAACGAGAGAGAACGCACCCCCTCCAGGAAGGGCCCCAGCAAGGTAAGACTGATTCTTGGATGCCATCCCAGATGGAGTCCTTCTTGGAATGGGATGTTCGTTCAGCTTTGGGGGAACCCAGAACTGCTTATAAGAGAATAACAGGAGTTGGAAGGGACCTTGGAGGTCTTCTAGTCCAACCCCTGCTCGGGCAGAAGACTCATTCCCATTCCGGACAAATAGCTGTCAAATCTCTTAAAAGCCTCCAGTGATGGAGCCCCCACAACTTCTGGAGGCAGGTTGTTCCACTGGTTAATTGTCCTCACTGTCAGGAAGTTTCTCCTTAGCTCCAGGTTGCTTCTCTCCTTGATTAGTTTCCATCCGTTGCTTCTTGTCCTGCCTTCAGGCGCTTTGGAGAATAGGTGGAGTCCCCTCCTCTTTTTTTTTTTTTGTGGCAGCCCCTCAAATATTGGAAAACTGCTGTCATGTCACCCCTCGTCATGGACATGGACCTTATAAGCCAGGGGTCTTCAAACTTGGCCCTTTTATGACTTGTGGACTTCAACTCCCAGAATTCCCCAGCCAGCATGGACCCTATAAGCCAGGGGTCTTCAAACATGGCCCTTTTATGACTTGTGGACTTCAACTCCCAGAATTCCTCAGCCAGCATGGACCCTATAAGTCAGGGGTCTTCAAACGTGGCCCTTTTATGAGTTGTGGACTTCAGCTCCCAAAATTTCTCAGCCAGCATGGACCCTAGAAGCCAGGGGTCTTCAAACGTGGCCCTTTTATGACTTGTGGACTTCAACTCCCAGAATTCCCCAGCCAGCATGGACCCTATAAGCCAGGGATCTTCAAACGTGGGCCTTTTATGACTTGTGGACTTCAACTCCCAGAATGCCTCAGCCAGCATGGACCATATAAGTCAGGGGTCTTCAAACTTGGCCGTTTTATGACTTGTGGACTTCAGCTCCCAGAATTCCCCAGCCAGCATGGACCCTATAAGCCAGGGGTCTTCAAANCTTGTGGACTTCAACTCCCAGAATTCCCCAGCCAGCATGGACCCTATAAGCCAGGGGTCTTCAAAGTTGGCCCTTTTATGACTTGTGGACTTCAACTCCCAGAATTCCTCAGCCAGCATGCCTGGCTGAGGAATTCTGGGAGTTGAAGTCTACAAGTCATAAAAGGGCCAACTTTGAAGACCCCTGAAACTAGGCACACCCAATTCCTGCAACTGTTCTTCGTGTGTTTTGAAATCACAAGAGCCCTTAAAAACGTGACTTATGACCCATGGCTATTTTGCACACGTATGACCATTGCGGCATCTCCATGGTCTCGCAATTTACACTCCGACGCTTGGCCGCTGGTTCATATTTATGACGGGTTGCCGTGTCCCGGGGTCACGCGATCAAAATTCAGACGCTTGACAACCGACTCACATTTATGACGGTTGCGTTGTCCCAGGGTCACGCGATCCCCTTTTGCGACCTGCTGACAAGCAAAGTCAACGGGACAGGCCAAATTCAGTTAATAATTCTAAATCAGAACAGAGCTGGGAGGGACCTTGGAGGTCTTCTAGTCCAGCCCTCTGCTCAAGAAGGACAAGTGGTTGTTCAGTCTCTTCTTAAAAACCTCCAGAGATGAAGCACCCAGAACTTAACTGTGGCAAGAAAGATGATAAAATGGAGCAAAAGTCCGTTAACAACTGTTAACTGTTAATTGGGCTCAATTGTGGTCGTAACTTGAGGACCACCTTACAGTGGGAATCAAAGGGTCTCCACAACTTGGCATAGCCGAAATCAGTGGTGGGATTCAAATACCTGAACAACTGGTTCTCTGTGTGGATGCACTTCCTGTGGCCGTGCTGGGCTTGTGAGGCCTCCCCGGCTCAGAATGGAAGTCCAGAAGTGGCGTGCATGCACTTCCTGTGGGCCGTGCTGGAGCTGGGAGGCCTCTCTGGCTCAGAACGGACATCAGGAAGTGGCGTGGATGCACTTCCTGTGGGGCATTCTGGGCCTCGGAGGCCTCCCCAGCTCAGAACGGACATCAGGAAGTGGCGTGGATGCACTTCCTGTGGGGCATTCTGGGCCTCGGAGGCCTCCCCAGCTCAGAACGGACATCAGGAAGTGGCGTGGATGCACTTCCTGTGGGGCATTCT